TCGCACAAGGTAGCCGGCTCTCCACTTAAAAGCCTGGCCTCTACCTCAGTATAGAGAATTTCCTTGATCTCAACTATGGGGCATTTTTCACTCCCGTAGCTAGAAACAATGGAAAAAGTCACCAATGAACATTGGCTATCAAGAACAAAGAACACATACCAGACGTGGAATGAAGTTTTGCATGAAGTGCCATAAATGTTGTAGAACTTAAAATCTTTTGGAAGTTTTGTAAAGAACCATAAACAGTAAGACTCATTTGCCCACTCAAAAATGCATCTATTGAAAGGTATACGTTGGTAAGTCTCTCCTGTTTTATATCCCTTGTATATATACTCAAGTTTATCTTAACTCAAAAAAACCTTGTGATTAGTTTTAGCACTAAATTTGTTCTTGCTGGGAGAGGCCACCAAATCCAGCCAATGGCAGCAAGGTAATTGTAAAAGGGTTATCTCTTTAACCACATTTTAGTGAATAATAGTGTTAATGGTTACTCTCAGTCAATGGGAGGTGGCCAATTGTGTGGGGTGAAAGAAAAAGGCATTACAACATGTATCACATGCAAAGTGTTGACTAATATTGGCACTCAACTTTTTGCAATAGAGAACCTTTAAAGGTTTCGTGTAGAGCACCTAGGATGACAGCAGGCTTAACTATTGGCAGCTTCAAGTTGTGATTCAAGTTTATATTTCAATCTCTTTCCCTCGATTTAGGGTTTAGTGAGCTATGGTGTGTGCTCTTGCCAATCCCTGGCAATGGCACCTCACATTCATCCCAAATGCACAAATTCTTGCATAGTGCCCTTCTTTTATCGCTATGACTGCTGGTTTGTTACCTCTTTTGGGAATTGAGACAAGCTACAATGCCACTAGAGTTACTGTTGTAAGTGGATTTTCTTGTAGTGAGATTGCATTTTCTCAAAACTTTTTATCAAGTCACTAGTGATGGAAAAATTTTGGGAGAGTCACTGAGATCATAGGTACTTTTTTTTTCTCTCTTCTTCATTTTTATTCTATTTTGTTTTCAAGGTAGAGTTGATTTGAGAATATGGTGGTATGACACCTCTAGCAACATGTCTAAACCACAAGCAATTGATGAAGTAAGCTATTCTCCTTTCAATGGAAGTTTTGAGAGTTCTTTTTTGTTCTTTAGGTGGTGGCACAAGCTCTAGAGAATGCAAAAGTGAAAGAGTCAAAACTTGCAATAGTAGTTGTGACAATTGGTCTTGGCTTGAGTTTATGCTTGGATAGTAATGTTCTTTGTGATGTTTCTTGAGCTTATTGTCGTGCCCAATGCTTAGAGGATTATGTTGAGCATCACATTGAAGAATTACTTGGCATGTAATTTCTCAGGCACTGGCATTAGAGGAATTCACAACTTACATGCTTCTCATTGTGGCAAATCCACATGGTCATCAAGATGGTAAGTTTTTTACTTTTTTTACCAAGTGAATTCATGGGTGTAGAGGTTATGATATTAGGTGCTAAGTGCTGGCCAGACTTTGATAATGAGTTTTATCTTTTGCTAATTGTGTTGCCATAGTGATAGGAGTGTGGTATCAAAAGATTTTGGGTTATCCAGGTGGCAATATATAGTGCTCTTGTTAATCTAACCAATGACAAATTGTACTATTGAGGTGATAGATTATGTATATCTTTGGTGCCATCACCAAATCAAAATCCATTAGTGGCAGAGATTTGAATTCTATTTAATGGGTTATCCCAAGAGAGTGAATATTTTTTATATGAATAATTTTATTTTTAATTTATGAATAAAATAATCAACTTTACCTACTTATTCTATATTTTAGGGCAAAATTAACTTTCATAATTTAATTTAAAAATATTTACAAATATAATAAGAAAATTATATTCTATACAAATGGCCTATCTAAATATCTAAAACATATAAAACCCAACACCATATTAAATGTGGTTGACTTAATTTTATGAATGTGTAAGGCTATGATCAAAACTTCAAGTGTTAATACAAAAACATTAAACAACTTTAACAATAAGAGTACAAACTTTATTTTTATATGTAGCCTTAGCTATTTACAATCTAATTCATTAGCAAAAAAAAAACAGATAATATATGCAATATTTGATTAAACAGTATTTTAAAATCTTTTTCCTAACTGCAAATATAAGTTATTAGTATATGATTCTATGGAATATAATAGTTGAATTATAGTTTCTATAACATATATGTACAAATAATTATTTTCTTGACTGAATTTGGGTAATAATATATCAATGTTCCTAAAAACTTATTGTTTTATATTCTAAGTAAAATGCATAATTAAGTAATGTCTTGCAGTAATTATTCTCTTTTTTTTGATAAAGTATTAATTTAAGTTTATCAATAGAAAATTCATTTATACTCTTTTCTGGGTCAGGTATTTTTTAAAATATATTTATATTTCTAAATAATAATTTGTATCTTATATTTTATTAATGAATATTTATTCTTACTTATGCCTAGGAATATGTTTGTTCTAGATATTTATATTATCAAATTTACAAGAATTGATTTTTGTATTAATCTAGCATTTTTTATGCATAATTCCCTCAATTCTTCTTTCAAAATGGAATACAATATTTATTATTTTGATACTATTCTGATTTATTTTTTAATATATTAAAAGATCAAACAATATTTTACTAATAGCACAGCATTTTGTTTTCTAACAGGCTGAGAGCTATTTGCTTTGAACCGAAAGTTACACTCAGACAGTCTCATGGATTCACCTCGGGTTTATTGTGTTCCATGAGGCACTTGTCGGTACGAGTAAAAGAAGTCATGGTGCTACTGCTTTGTACTTCCTCAAAGAGTAACGGCATAAACGCTTTGGCTTCTTTGTGCAGTCACACATACAACACGTATTTCCTGAAGCGGCTGGTCTCCAAGACGTGATGGTCGTAGAGATTGTGGAGGCTTTGTTAGAGGTCCTTATTTAAGTGCGAGCCATCTTTTGCAGGTCACTGGTTGACGCTACCAGGAAATGCTAGAGGATGGGTGCATCCTCCAGTCACCATTTGATGGATGTTAGTGCAGGTAAAAGAATTATTGCTAGAAACTCTTATAACTTTCTTGTGTCTTTTTTGAATTTCCAGACACTGGACATCCGCATTTGCTGGATATGATTGCTTTGAGAATTACTTGCGAGTGCAGACATGTTAGTTGTTCTCTTATTCTTGTTTGTCTTGCTAGCTCTCAGCTCAGACTTGCCTAAGAGCATTGGCATACATGGAGCCAGAAAAACATCAAAGCCTTGACAAGCCCAATGGACGAGCCTTTGATGCGAAGACTGTAGGACAAAATGCTTGACACGGTTGGATACCTAATAGTGCAGAAAGCTTCATTGTACTTCGGAATTGCTTGCAGCCTATATAGCCAGCTTTCAATCACTTGCATAGACAAAAAAACTAGAGTGCATTTAGCAAGAAAAAAACATACAAGAAGAGCTGCTTTCTATCTTCTATTTCTTGCGAAAGAATGCAATGAAGAAAGCTACATTTGCACACGCAGTAGTAATGGCTCCCGTGAGATGGGCGTAGTCCGTCTCCCAATGGGAGAAAATTCCCCACAGCAAAGCTGACACAAGAGAAAACAGTGAGAACCCGAAGTACAGAAATGACCGTGGGAAACCAAGCCGAAGAACTCCGCGCAGGCCAAGAGGAAAGGCCGATGCTACGACGTAGATTCCCGCTGTGACCCAGACGCGTGGCGGCTGGTGCTGAAACGCGAGCGAAAACCCAGGAGACGCAAGGCTGAGCACCAGCGAAGAACACAGTATCGCGACTCCTCGTCCCCGTCCAGCAGGCAGCTTGGCAATCACCGTAAGCAGCCCAAACACACAGAAGAAACCTGAGAATGCAGCGACGAAGGCCGACACGATAGCCAAGTGGTGGTAGTCTATGAGATCCCTGTTCCACTTCTCCACCATAGCAACCGCATTGAGGCTGGAAAGTGCCAGGAGAGCCAAGAGAGGGGACAACGACCTCAGCATATCGTCACCTGAAGATCCTCGAGCTTGAGCATCACCTGCCTGGGCATTGCCGCCAGTAGCAGCAAGTAGCACAGCACCAGCTCCCGCAAGTGGCACAGCAGCAGCCACACCAGGGTCTCCCTCATGAGCCATCACACCAGCATCTCCCTCAGCAGGTGTGTCTCCCATGGACACGCTATCTCCTCCCTGAGCCGTCTCAACAATCTTGTCTCCCGTGGGCACATCTCCCTCCGTCACAATGATCCCCGTGAGATCTTCACCTGGATGGACATCTCCTTCACCCACGCACTCGTCCTGTGCACCAGTGTCTCGCTCACCTGCAGCAGCGTTTCCCTCAGTTGGACCAGCAGCAGCGTCTTGCTCCGGCATATCCACAACGATGTTGGTAGCGTCTCCCTCCGGCATGGCAGCGGCGGCTCCCTCCAGCACATTTGCAACACCAGCGTCTTCCTCCGGCATGCCACCGGTGTCTCCCTCCAGCACATTTGCAACGCCAGCGTCTCCCACATCCACAAAGATCCTAGTCGCCTCTTGGCCACCAATTTGAGCCGCGCCATCGCCCAGAACACCACCGCGCGCTGGATCCACGCCCAGAACACCACCGCGCGCTGGATCCACTCCATGGCAAAACGCTGCTAGCGCTATCGAAGCCACTAGAGAAGACAGCATTGACAAAAATCCTAGCCAGAAGATTCGTGATTTGGTGATCTCCTCGGCAGGAATCGCGTCTGTAGGAACCTTGTGTGCCTGATGCTGGAACGGATCCAAGAATGCTGGCACTGGCGTTGTGGGGAAGTATATCTTGCTCCAGAGGATCCAGACCACGAGCCCAAATGCAATCACGCCCACAGCTCCAAGCCGACCGCGTCTTGCTCCCCGCAGCTCCAGACCGCGTCTTGCTCCTCGCAGCTCCATTAGGTCTTGGAGAATGGCACAAGATCTTCGCGTTTAAGAACACACACCCTCATATGTCCTAGAACCGACCAAGATCTCAAAAAAGAATAAGAGCGTCCTTCTTTGATATCTTGGAGTGGCTTCGTAGAAAAGAATGTAGCTTTTTGCTCAGGCTTTCACAAATCCAGTGGCTTTCTCCGGCCTCCGGCCTTCATTCTGTGCACATCTATGAAGCTTGTGGAAAATGTGACAATACCTCTAGTTGCGCTGAAACAGTCCCTGCGAGCTCCCGACTGAACAGATTGACACGAATCTGTACAAGGAATTGTCATGACACGCCTACCTGAATGGATCGCAATCGCAGCAGAAGTTCTGGAACGCAGCAAGCTCTCTTCTATTGCAGGAAATGATCTAAGAAGAAGAACAAGATGCAAGAACAGTGCTGGGATTAAATAAGCACAAACTTTGAGGCAGCAGACTGACCAGATCTCGAGAACCTTAAAAGAAAACCTGATAGTCCTCAGGCAGAAGTACAGGTTCGTAAGTCTACTACTTCTTTAAGCTCTGAAAGATGTCCAGAAAGTAGTGACGTTAGTGACCAAGAACGACAAGGAAATCAACAGCAGTATTTCATTATCAACGATATACCTGTGTTTGTCAAGAGAGTACGCAACTGTGTCCGAATCTGGTAGACCTGCTCGAGAAGTAAAGTCCATTTATTGCACAGAATGTCCTGTCTGTAAGTTCGACTCTCTTTGTATCTTCAGCTTTCAATTAACGGATGTTTTGAGTTCACGAGACTTCTCAAAGAAACTAGAGAAGCATCGCATTACCAAATAGCCGTCACGGACGTAGAATGGCATTGCTGAGGAAAGCCATCTCACTGAGGTCAGATTGATTTAGACAAACAAAGATACTATGTACCTGTCATTCTGCCGTGCTCCATCATATGCACGTAAAGATCCGCACCAGCTAGATTAGAGGCATAAGGACGAGGAGCTCCATGAGTATTTCCGCGGTACTTTCCTGCAGGAATGTGGAAAAAGCGCATTCAGCCTCATTAGCGCCTGGACCAAACTATGTAGATCATGAAACAACACTTACACCAAATTGCCCCCCAAACCTGAAATACATCCTGAGATACATCCTGTGTGCAAAATGCGATAAATACCTCTAGCTGACTGCCGCTAAACAGTCCCTGAAGAGCTCCCGACGCAACCAGTCAGGATTATCACTTGCTGTCATTTCAAGACCGGAAGCCAGCCACGAATCTGAAACGAAGCTCCAGAGCAAGAAATTGCAATTTAAACCTGACGCACCTCCATGCATCGTAGCACAAGTTCTGGAAAGCAGCAACGACGGCAAATAAATCACGAATGGAGCATCCCGGCGTACACCATCCGAGTGAATAGAAAACGCATCCATTCGAAAAACTTCAGGATGAAAATGTGGAAGTTCTCCTGCAACAAAAGGAAAAAGAGAAGAAATTAATCCTGATGTCCAGGGCGAAAAGTAAACCTTCAATGACAAAAATCCACCATCACTTGTTACAAGTGATTCAATGCCTTCCCCTTCAAGAGCCGCACATTTGAGCTCTATATCCAGTAACATATTGCTCTGAGGATTGACAGCCACATTCACCTGTTTCACTCAAGTCGTAAGGTTACAAAAAACGCCAGATAGAAGTTCTCTTTACCGTTAAGTTGCGTTGAATGGAAGCCAGCTCTCCCGAGCAAAAATGCAATGCGCTGTTCGGAGCAGTGCAAACTGTAGGATCTGGAGCAAATCAAGGATCCGATGATCTCCAAAAAACGACAGTGGAAAATAGTTCCACGGATTGGAAGGCTTCATCGTTGGTGAGAAGCCACTTTCATTCGCTACCTGAAAACGAAAATGTGAAAACAAAATAGGAAGAAGCAAAATAAGATAGCTTACTGTGAAGAAAAGCAGTAGCTGTGTCAAGAGCTTGTTTTGCAGTAGCAAAGGACCTTGCTCTTTCTTCAGGTGAAATGCAGTTCTCAATTGTTGATAGCCAGCTTCGATAATGTGCGTCACAAGAAAAGTATTCTTGCTGAAAAAACGAAGTCCCGGGAAAAAAAAATACAAAAAACAAAAACAGGCAGCAACGTTCTTTTTTTTAATGGCTCTGCTTTCTCCTTCCGAAATCTCAACACTGCACCATAGCGGCGTTAGCGAGATCTCTCGGAAAACCAAACGCTGTTGGAATTCTGCCATACAACGGGAGGCTGCCGCAGCTCCATCATATCCACGTAAAGATCTGAGAGGGATGAGGGCCAACGAGCTCTTCCTTGTGTTGCGTGAATACAAACCTCACGTACCTAAAAGAATAACATAAACAATAAGTGGAAGTGAAATCGATCATACGTGCTCAGGATTCAATCTCCAGCCAATTCAAGCCTGTCCCCGTATTGTCCTTCAATCCTTCCGCAGAACCAGATGTGCGGCGAAACGAATCATTTGAGGATGCCTGTGTGGCCTGAGAGAAACTCAGCTTAACGCACAATGATCAAAGCCTACGTACTTGACGTTAGAATTGTCGTCTACATTTCCAATACCGGTGCTATATCAGAGACCACGAGGTGCATCTGTCCAACACAACAGCTGCGTCTCACAACCAGATTCCCAAGTCACGATGAAACAAAATGTGTACCCAGAGTAGAGCTTTTGAAACAAGTTGATAAAATCACAAGGCAACAGGCTCGGCACAAGTGGAAGATAAATCGATCGCGCTTAAAAGATGGCGGTGAGAAAGCTCTCCATGACCTTACAAGAGCGAACACGTTGGCTTTTTTTCAGATTAGAATCACAGCACAATACCTCGCAGTTGGCGTCAACACATGTGTTTTACATTGCAGCAAAAACGGGACTCTCGTATCTCCCCCCCTTCACTTGACGCTATTTTCTGGAACACCTTGTTTGGAAACACAAACACAAGTTCAAGCCCATACCTCGGAAGCACAAAAGCAAGCCCACTTCCATATCCTCCTTCCTCCATCAAGCCCTGTAGCGTCTAAAGGAATGAGCAGTCATGCAGCCAGCTCTCCACGCCTGATAGTGCAAGATAGCTGTGTCATTAATTCAAGAAAATAAGAAACTGGTTTTTGCTCGAGAATCACCAGGAGCTTGGATTTGAGCAGCGCGAGTGCTTTATCTTGTTTTGAAGTTGGCTTCTCTACTCTAGTATCACAAGAAAAACAAAGAAAGTTTTAGAACACTGCTTGCTGAAGAAATTCTAGAAACATTTGTTTCATGTACCTGAGCAACGAAGAGTAATCCCTGTTGGACACAGGTCCTGCGCTTCTGCGTTTCTTCCAGCTCGGATGAGATTCCGCACATCTCTAAAAGATTATGTTCCAGTTTCTGCGACAAATACGATACACGTAAGAAGACCCGTAAGAGCGTAGTACCTGATCTTCGGGATGCAACCTGGAGTTGGAGCATCAAGATCCAAATGTCGAACATAGTGAGTTCCGATATTTTTTTTGATAGCCCGTGTTATCGCACGAGCCTAGCTTCTGAGGGTATAGGCCCGCCTTCCTGTAGCGATAACATTTGTAGACACGAATATACTCCATGCAAGAGTTTTACCTTTTTTTCTAAATCCAATTCCTTGGACGCCAAACTCTCGAGACAAGACAAAGACAAGTCTGATCGTTTCCTGTAAACCCGGACTGCGCTTTCAAAAAACAATAAAGTCAGTCCCACTGAAACGTAATAAGCGATGCTACCTTTTCCATACAAATGCCAATGAAAAACCCATGATGAAGACTCGGAAGTTTGCAATTGAGCCTTCTGACGTAGCCCTGTCTTTTACAGCTCGATGGCTGCCTCGTCTCTGTAAAGAAAAAGCCGCTAAACTTCCAGTCGTCCTCAACAAATCGTTTCATTTCCGCTAGATCCCGGCCAAACTCGCTCAAGAGCTCGGGCAGAGACGTGATGCCTGTCAAAGAAAAACATAAGCCGAGTTGTATGGCTTGAGAAACAAAAGTGGTAAACCGGGTTACACCAGAAGCAAAGCGCTCAAATGAATCTTATCTGGTTCCTAGAGACCAGATACGGGTGAAAAGAGAGAACTTAGCACCAAAAACCGAAACCACACCTCTTTGATTCGTGGAGCAGCAAATGGGGACTCTTGGGCTCTTCAGGAAAGCTAGGAATCTTTGGCTCGGGACGCATTTCACCAGCATTCTCACAGGAAGAAGAGAGAACGAGAAAAACATACCTGTATCGCCGGCAATGCCACCAAAAACCCTCTTTACAAGTAAAAATCTCATGGTTTTGAGCGTCTGGTTAGTTAAGCCAGTAAGAGCGCGTCTGGTTAGGCTAACAAGAGCTGTTAGCGGCCGGATCGGAATGTCCACGATCCACCGGCTGGTGCCGGTTCAAACGCAAAATCTCACTTACAGAAGGCTCTTCAAATAACTTAATACTTATTCAATGTTTCACTATTTTACTGTTATTTTCCAAAAACCCAGAAAATATACTTGACCTGTTTGATAATATTATTGTTTTAGATTGCCCTTCAAACGTATTCAAACGTTTTTGCTGCTCAGTGTGGCAATGTAAACCACATGTGTTGACGCCAACTGCGAGGTATTGTGCTGTGATTCTAATCTGAAAAAAACCAACGTGTTCGCTCTTGTAAGGTCATCTTTTAAGCGCGATCGATTCATCTTCCACTTCTGCCGAGGACGCTTGTCAAGTCTTTGATGTTTTTCTGGCTCCATGTATGCCAATGCTCTTAGGCAAGTCCGAGCTGAGAGCTAGCAAGACAAACAAGAATAAGAGAACAATTAACTTGTCTCCACTCGCAAGTAAATTTCAAAGCAATTGATCCAGCAAATATGGATGTCCGGTGTCTGGATTATCAACAAAGACACAAGAAAGTTATAAGAGTTTCTAGCAATAATTCTTTTACCTGCACTAACATCTATCAAATGGTGACTGGAGGATGCATCCATCCTCTAGCATTTCCTGGTAGCGTCAACCAGTGACCTGCAAAGATGGCTCACCACCTCTAACGTTTATGCCTTTACTCTTTGAGGAAGTACAAAGCAGTACCTGGCTCGCTCACATTGATTCCAACACCATTGACTTCTTTTACCTCGTACTGACAAGTGCCTCATGGAACACAATAAGCTCGAGGTGAATCCATGAGACTGTCCGAGTGTAACTTTCGGTTCAAAGCGAATAGCTCTCAGCCTCATCATCCACATCCTTTTCTTGTTATTTATAGGATTACATATTAGGGCTTGATAGTATGGAGATTACTAGTACGAGTGTTCCATTGTGGTGGTTCTTCTTACCTGTTTCAATTATTATGACTTGGGCAATTAGTTTTTATGTTTTCACCATCTATATCACATTTTATCCTCCAAAGTGGAATTGCCCAAATGGTGTTCTTTATTGTCAAAGAGACTGCAATGCACTAAGCCCTAGCTACCATTGGGGCTTTACATCATATTACGTGGCCTATGCAAAAATTGGGCCAAAATACTCTGCCATAAGATATTGGCAACTTGTTTGCTTCACTCGTCATGTATATATATTTCTATCAGTAGGCTATATTATTGGAGGTAATATTAGAACAGTTGTATAAAATACTATTGCTAAACTGATTTTACAGTTATTATTGGAATCGTTACTCTCTTCCACTACAGGTGCTCTATGCTGGTTAGTATTTTTATTGGAGCAGCTAGTGCATTAGCCAGCACATATGTCTCAAATCGCTCCTGGTTTATTATTTGGCAAGTTTTGTCTGCAATAGCACATTCTTGTGCAGGAACATCAGCTGTAATGAGATGGTTCATGGAAACACCCTGTTTTATTAGTTGGAAAAGATGGCTTTTTCCAAATCATGGATTTGCCGACTGTCAGAGGGAAGATGACAACGTTATATGTGAAGTAATTGGTACATATCCTATAGGTTCTCTTTGTGTGCCAAGTTGCATACCTATCACTTTTGTGTGTAGACATTTATATCCAGACTGGAGGTGGGGAAATAGGATGGTGTGTGTCATGGACTCTATTGTTGTTGTGGTGTTAGTGGGGGAAATGTTAGGACGAGTTTTGATGAACAAAAGAAACAGTGGGAGAGTAGCAAATGTTTCCAATTAAGTGTGTAATATTAAAGTGATCAAGAGAACTTTGGGATGGTTGAAACTAGAATTCATGTGCTGCCACAGATAATGCGAGTATTCAGAGAGTGTGGGTTTTTTAATATATAGCAGCATAGACTTCTGTGGTGACATTACGACTTTGCCAGTCATACAAGAGAGAGAGAGAGAGAGAGAGAGAGAGAGAGAGATTTATACCTCGGAATATCAACTTAGACTGTTTCATTATGCTAATGCGTTTTTCCAATTATTATTAGAGTTATTATTACTCTCTTACACTGTTTGCTGGTTAGTATTTTTATTGGAGTACATTAGCAAGCATATATGTCTCAAATATGGTTTATCATTTTGTCTGCAACAGCACATTCTTGTGAAGGAAGATCAGCCATAATGAGGTTGTTCATAGAAGCACCTTGTTTTCTTTTCCAAATCATAGGTTTGCAGGTGCCCAGGGGATGATCACAACAATATATGTGAAGTGATTGGTGGATATGCTATGGTTTCTTTATGCGAGCCAGGTTGCATACCTTGTGTAGACGTCTAGGATGGTCTGCGTTGTGTGGTGTTAATGAACAAAAGATATATTGCAATCCACAATGTTCCCGATCCTCTTCTTTAATTCACACTTACTGTTGAAGTGTCGCTTTGAGGATCCAAAAACACAGAATTTTGGTCCTGAACAAGCGAATCGATTTGCTTTCTGAAGGTAAACTTAAGAAAGTGCCGACTGAAGAACGCACCGCTTATAGGTCCCTCAAAAGAAAAAGAGAAAAAAGGCATTTGAAACACATAAAATCTTACGGCTGTGGAAGCTTGACAGGGCACAGGGCATTCAGCATGCTGTGCAGCATAGTCACTCACGCTTCCCAGGAACGTCCTGTCCAAATCCACGGTTTGAGGAATGCAAACTAGAGCTTTTTGGCGAACCTTTTCACCATTCCAATGCCTCGGCTTCCCAGTATTAACATTGTTGGAGGCCACTCGTTGACAGCTTCTAGCAGCTTTTCTTGGGCATCCCCTTTCTTGGATACAATCAGTTTTGTAGAAAAAGAAATCATGAGCTAGTCAAAAGTTTATCACAAAGTACCTTAACGGGACTCACTCGACGCTATTTTCTGGAACACCTTGTTTGGAAACACAAACACAAGTTCAAGTCCATACCTCGGAAGCACAAAAGCAAGCCCACTTCCATATCCTCCTTCCTCCATCAAGCTCTGTAGCGTCTAAAGCGCGCTCGTTGAATGAGCAGTCATGCAGCCAGCTCTCCACGCCTGATAATGAAAGATAGCTGTGTCATTAATTCAAGAAAATAAGCAACTGGGTTTTGCTCGGGAATCACCAGGAGCTTGGATTTGAGCAGTGCGAGTGCTTTATCTTGTTTTGAAGTTGGCTTCTCTCCTCTAGTATCACAAGAAAAACGAAAAAAGTTTTAGAACACTGCTTGCTTAAGATGTCTAGAAACATTTGTTTCATGTAGCTGAGCAACGAAGAGCAATCCCTGTTGGACACAGGTCCTGCGCCTCTGCGTTTCTTCCAGCTCGGATGAGATTCCGCACATCTCTCAAAGATTATGTTCCAGTTTCTGCGATAAATACGATACACGTAAGAAGAGGACCCCGTAAGAGCGTAGTACCTGATCTTCGGGATGCAACCTGGAGTTGGAGCATCAGGATCCAAATGTCGAACATAGTGAGTTCCGATATTTTTTTGATAGCCCGTGTTATCCCACGAGCCTAGCTTCTGAGTGTATAGGCCCGCCTTCCTGTAGCGATAACATTTGTAAACACGAATATACTCCATGCAAGAGTTTTACCTTCTTTTCTAAATTCAATTCCTTTAGACGCCAGACTCTCGAGACAAGACAAAGACAAGTGTAAACCCGGACTGCGCTTTCAAAAAACAATAAAGTCAGTCCCGTTGAAACGTAATAAGCGATGCTACCTTTTCCATACAAATGCCAATGAAGAACCCATGGTGAAGACTCGGAAGTTTGCAATTGAGCCTTCTGATGGAGCCCTGTCTTTTACAGCTCGATGCTTCTCAGCTGCCTCGTCTCCGTAAAGAAAAAGCCGCTCAACTTCCAGTCGTCCTCAACAAATCGTTTCACCTGACTGCCTCCGCTAGATCCCGGCCAAACTCGCTCAAGGGCTTGGGCAGAGACGTGAAGCCTGTCAAAGAAAAACGTAAGTTGAGTTGTATAGCTTGAGAAACAAAAGTGGTAAACCGGGTTACACCAGAAGCAAAGCGCTCAAATGAATCTTATCTGGTTCCTAGAGACCAGATACGGGTGAAAAGAGAGAACTTAGCACCAAAAACCAAAACCACACCTCTTTGATTCGTGGAGCAGCAAATGGGGACTCTTGGGCTCTTCAGGAAAGCTAGGAATCTTTGGCTCGGGACGCATTTCACCAGCATTCTCACAGGAAGAAGAGAGAACGAGAAAAACATACCTGTATCGCCGGCAATGCCACCAAAAACCCTCTTTACAAGTAAAAATCTCATGGTTTTGAGCGTCTGGTTAGTTAAGCCAGTAAGAGCGCGTCTGGTTAGGCTAACAAGAGCTGTTAGCGGCCGGATCGGAATGTCCACCTCCAACTTTACGATCCACTGCCGTTCAAACGCACTTCCACAAATCAAATAATTAATAAGTTCCGCTATTTTACTGTTATTTTCCAAAATACGTTTGAAGGGCAACAATAAATAATTTATATAATCAAACAGGGCAAAACCACTTTTCTGGGCTTATAAGCTAAATCAAACTTTTTTCTTGGGATTGGAACTCGGAGCAAGATGCTTGCTATTAGAATTACTTTAGAAGCTCTTGTCTATACACTTATCTACATGTAAGCAGCTATAAAATTACAATTAACTGGAATTGTCACTAGAAATAATCAAGTTTATAAATCTACGCATAAATTATAAATCTATAATATCAATTTTTCATAACTTAGACTGTTTTATTATTTGTATAGAAATTACTAATGTGTTTTCCAATTATTATTGGAGTTATTAACTCTAGGTGCTGTATGCTGGTTAGTAGAATAGTTAGTACATTAGCAAGCATATACATCTCAAATCACTCATGGTTTATCATTTTGTTTACAACAGCACATTCTTGTGAAGGAAGATCATCTATAATGAGGTGGTTCATAAAAGCACTTTGTTTTCTTGGCTACCAACGATGGCTTTTTCCAAATCATGGGTTTTCAGGCGACAATATATATGTATAAGGTGATTGGTGGGCGTTCTCGCGCAGCACAGCCTGATCGGAGAGGCGCAAGAGATTTACGAGAGCATGCCCGAGTGTGATCTCATGGATATCCTATGATTTCTTTATGCAAGCTAGGTTGCATATTTTTTGTAGACGATGCCACAATAGCCATATGGACGTGGGAACAGAGGGGGAGAGTACGGAGGATATATTACTGTCTTTATCTCTCTGCAGTCCTTCCTCACCGTTCTCACGCTCACATCTCCCCATCCCATGCTCGCGAGTAGCTCGGATTCTTGCAAACTAAGCCAAGTATGTTGAGTTAAATAGACATTTATTCCTTCTTTATGCTTGTGCAGTAAAATACAGATGTGAAGTCTAATTTAGTAACACTTAACAAAAAACAATATCAAAGTTGATCTTTTGCGATGCAGTTTTAAAAGCATCTTTTTTTTTTCTTCCTTGTTTTTCTTGAGGACCGAGCTAATAGTGTTTTGAAAACCTCGATCAGTTTTTGTTCCTCATTCGTTTGCTTTCCTTCATGCAGACGTTCCAAAGTTCTCACAATCGATCTTCAACACAAACCCATGGTAAATGTCGATGTTAAAGGGAAATCCATCTTTAGGTAGCTGTTTGTGAACTTGAACACGTATGGACAGGGGAACAGAGGGAAAGAGTACGGAGGATATATTACTATCTTTCTCATCTTATCTCTCTGCAGTCCTTTCCTCACCGCTCTCACGCTCACATATCCCCATCTCATGCTCGGCGAGTAGCTGGAGCTTTCCCTCGGATCTCTTTTCCCTATCCCTTGCTCGATAACAGTGGTATCGTAGCCACTTCGTCTGGGACACACGCTCGAGCGTCGTGAAGGAGACCAGTCGTTGGAGGTCGGCTATCAGGTAAAGCGGCCGGAATGTTTCGTTTCGCTTTCACAGTTTTTGGTGACCGATCTTCTCTGGACTGGTCGTGGATAAAGGGAGGGAGGGGATTTGTTCTTCCTGGGCAATGGCGGCACCATAGAGGCGGCCGAAGGCGGCGATTTCAGGGGATTTACCAAGGTTTAGTCTTGATGTTTTCGCAGCACAAGAGAAGATGATAAGGTGCCTATCCGATCGGCAGGAAGATCTAGACGACAGCTTGCGGGTCTTAGGAGCTGCAGTGACCAGGCCGATGGGGGACTCCGGAAAGAGGAGGGAGTTAGGCGCCGACCTTTCGAGTTCCAAGTACCACCATTCAGCGGGAGCACGGTAGGGGAGTAAGCCTTCGCTTTTGGGACAACAGCTTCAGAGTTTCCTATGGGAGCAGTTCTCCAACAGGTCGACGGTCAGCGAGCCGATACAAAGTATCGTTTAGCACCCATGCAGACTCAGGGATTCTTCACAGCGGCGCCAGCTTTCAGCGGGATAAGGGCCGGTTCAAGAGCGGGAGTTTCCGTGTAATGGTCCTTTCCGGAGAGGCAGAGTGGGCAGGACAACGTGGGGCGGGTGGGGGAATCCATTCCAATCCACGAGAACTAGTAGGGAGTCTGGACCCTCTCGGGCTGGGTGGAGTGCGTGGGACTCATGGCTGCGCAAGTTGAAGAGGTGGTTTCTATACCGTGGTCATCGCGATTCGCACAAGGTAGCCGGCTCTCCACTTGAAAGCCTGGCCTCCGAGTCCCTTCTCTCTCGAGACTGTAAAACCAGGCTTCCAAGTTGGGAGGAGTTCAAGCAAAGGATTCGGGAGCATTTTATCATCACGTCCGTGGGAGAGCTTCCCTTCAACAAACTCTGCGGAATGGTGTACAGATTTAAGTCCCAGACGCCCAGGAATTCAACGAGACGTGGCTTAAGGCGAGATACGAGGTGACCAACATCCCGGAGGATGCTTTGATGCAACGTTATGGCAACCGAAATAGCTCAGCTATCTCCTCGCTCGGTCCAGCAAGCGATGGGATTAGCATTAAACACGGATCTCAAGTTCCACGAGTGGGAAGCTCGTCTTTCCGGCCGATGGAGGCAAGGGCCACCAAAGGAGACAACGAGGGCCGGAGCCACCCAGAGTGGTATGCCAACTCCCGATCAGCGGAAGCAATGCAAGTAAAGGGAAGCGATGACCTCAAGCTTGGGAAATGTTCATTGGGAAGTTTGCAAGGCTCCGTGCACTTGGGAGAATGCAAAAGACAAGGATATCTTAGTCCTGTAGACGGATGTACCACATTGGCCTCAGAAGCAGCGAGAAGAGGCGGACGCGGGGCTTGAGGGAGAACTTTCTGTGGCGAAGGCATGCATCTCCTATCCGGCCTTTATGGGAAAAGCTGCGGGTACTTGTTTCGGAGTCAAAGGAACGATTAGCAGGAAGCATTCGCATTAATTGACTCGTGAGTGCCACCGTCAACCAACATTCTCTATCTAAGCTGCAGCTCGCAGCGCGTCCACAGAAGACTCCTCTAGAGGTGGAGATAGCGGACGAGGGAGTCATCGAGGCGTCTGCCCGGGTCTCATGCTCGATGCTCATTGGTGGTCACCAAGTGAAAGGAGAGTTCTTCATCCTGGGCATCAAAACACTTCGCCTCTTTTGGGGACATTCTCGTCAACTTTGATGAGCATCGTCTCTCCTTCAATCACCAGGGGAGGAAGATCGTCTGGAGGGGGGAGTGGACATTGGAAAGAAGACACGGGCAACCGCTGGACAATGCCGGGGGTTGATCGCGAGAGGAGGATGTCCCATGGCGTATGATTCAGAAACAGGGATTCTTCTTCCAATGGATGGGAACCCGAAGAGATCCTTTCGAAACGACATCTTCAGCTTTCTCAGGCCTAGCTGCAAGGTCCAACCATGTACCAAGTTCCGACTTCTCCAGTCACAGGGGAGGGGAACCAGAGAGAACCAGGTCGTTGGAGGAAGCAGTACACCACGGAAGCCATTCGTGAGGTGGCAAGGAAGTATTCAAGGGTCTTCCTCAACCGAGTTTGTGCTCATGAAGCAATCACGCACAAGATCCAACTCGAGAAAGGGATCGTCACGACTGTTCATTCAGCTGAGCCATGTAGAGCGAGGTGGATAAGATGATCAAGGAGCTCATGGACAATCTCTTAAAGAGGACAGTTTCAGTCCTTACACGGCACCAATAATCTTGGTGCTAAAACGTGACGGCTCGTGGAGACTGTGCGTTGATTACAGACAGCTCAACAACGTCACTCCCCATCCCAACTTAATTGATGGACTCGGTGAAGCAGCTATTTCTCCGAGCTAGATTTGCGATCTGCATATTATAAAATATCCATGGCAGAGAAGGACAGGATGAAGACAGCATTTCAGACTCACAGAGGGGTTTTACCAGTTTAAGGTGAGGGCTCACCATCCTTTTCAGTCTCTCATGAACAAGATCGGTCATTGTATTTTTCGACGACATCCTCGTCTACAGTCGATCCTGGGAAGAACACCTTACACACATCGACGAGGTTTTGCAAGTGCTAGAGGATCATGCGCTGATCGTCAAACTCTCAAAATGCTGCTTTGCCAAGCAAGAAGAGAAGTACTTAGGCTTCCGGATAACAAAAATGGAGGCGATGAGTGGTCTCTCACCACCATGAAGTAGCTCCATGTATTTCTCAGGCTCTGCAACTACCTCTGGAAGTCTGTGGAGCACTATGCTTCCGTTGCGTCGCCTCTGACGGACATCATTCGTGCAGGCAGGTTTTCGTGGGACGAGAATGCACGGTACGTTCGAACTTTTCGGCTCCGATTCTTCAACTTTCAGACTTTGAGAAGCAGTTCATCGTGGAGACGATGCCTCGGATGCAGGAGTGGGAGCGATCTTGAAGTTCGAGAGCAAAAGGTTCTTGGAAGCGGAGTCTCGCCAGCCGGCGTATGATTGACAAAGTGGAGGCACTGCGAGGTCGCACGGATCACTTCAGTATGAAATTTCTTCTCGAGCAGCCTCGCCTTAACAAAAAGCAGAGGCAGCTTCAATCACTCGATTTCACGATTGAGTATAAGCCAGGGAAAACAAACGTCGTCCCTGATGCGCTCTCAAGGATGTTTGAAAAGCCGGAGGTCAGTTGTCACACCAGAAATCATAAAGGGCTAATCCAACGATGACCAGACAACAACTTCAACGACGCGAAGATTTCCTTCCATGACGGCTTGCTCTAGAAGAAAGGAAGGATTCTGCAAGATCATCTTCACCAAGGCATTCTCGCGGGGCATCCGGGGGTCGTGTGGAAAGGAATGGAGTGTGAGATACGCACTTGGATCAGGGAGTGTCCAGAGATAGTCGCAACACCTTGTCTTCTCAAGCATTTACCTTCTCCATCAGCGCAGCTCTCGTCCTCAGCTTCAAAGAAGGTGGTAGAGATCTTCTGGAGGGAGGTGGTGAGGTTCCATGGCGTTCCAAGCGAAATCGTCTCCAACCGAGACACCAGGTTTCTCAGCCAGTTTTGAAAAGACCTTTTCACAACGTTACTGAGCTTCAGCACCGCCTACCATCCCCAGACAGATGGTCAGACGGGACGGACGATTGGAGACATTGGGGATACGTGCGGACCAGCTGGGCACACTCGCGGAGTTTGCCTACAACACTGCTCGGCACTCAACCATCGGTATGTCTCCATACCAGTAGCTTCCCCGATCTTGATGACAACTCCCACTTCATCAAACGACGTCAGTGACCAAGTGGAAGCCATCAGGAAGATGCAGCAGCTGATTGGGCAACGGTTGGAATCTCCTCGTGTAGTCACAGCTCCATCCCAGATTCTTCGGCACACTCAGGATACTCGAAAAGATCAACGAGCTCGCCTATAAGTTGGCATTACCACCGGGGTCGCACCTACATAACGTTTTCGACGTGTCGGATCTCAAGCTTTTGCGGACCAGCTCCCGGAGTTTTTTCCTGCGCCGGAGTTTGTCTCCTCCGACAGGCAGCCTATGCTGCAACCGAAAGCACACTGGGAGATACAAGGTCAGGTGGCACGGAACGGATGACGAACAGGAACGGACCAGAGCTCCTCGAAACAGACCTGTTAGGACGTACTATAACGCATGAGAGTACGGAGGATTTATTACCATCTTCCTCGTCTCATCTCTTCTTTCACATCTTACCTTCTCTCCCCACATCCATCAGTTTAAGGAATTTAAGCACTGTCGGGATGATGGATGTCGAGTTTTGGCCTGGCACCTGGGTTAAAAATTTACTCGCTCTCGCGATCATCTTGATGATAGACTATGGAGTTATCAGAAGAACTTTATCAACACTCGAGATACACTAAAAAGCCTTGCCATATACAACATTGCAGATCAACTTCAAGCAAGTGATGAGGTTGATCACTTACAAGTTTTCCGTCAGTTTACTTTGGATATTCCCCTACTCTAAATCTCCAGCGCCCAGCTGCTCACGATATCGCCAGGTTTTGGTGTGCGGGATCCTCGTCTTTGATTTCACTCAGCCGGAGCATTGTTTCTACAAGAATCTATTCAATGACAGCAGCTGAAAGACACTGTCCGGTGAGTGTTTCCACGTTCTCTTGACATCGATTTTGCTTCAATTGTTGTGGAAGTAAGTTCCATCGAATTAGCAGATGCATGGTTTACCCCTGGTAAAGGGATTCTTGTGCTTAAATTCCTTTCTTTTCCATAGGATCTATTAGGGCTTCAAAGGTTGGGTATGGAAATTACTAGTAAGAGCGTTCCATTGTGGTGGTTCTTCTTACCTGTTTCAATAATTATGACTTGGGCCATTACTTTCTATGTTTTCACCATTTACATCACTTTTTATCCTCCAAAGTGGCACTGCCCAAGTGGTGTTCTCTATTGTCGAAGAGACTGCAATCCACTAAACCTTGGCTACCATTGGGGTTTTACGTCAGATTACTTGGCTTATGTAACAATTGGGCCAAAGTACTCTGCGATTCGATATTGGCAGCTTGTTTGCTTCACTCATCACATATATACATTTTTATCAGTGGGCTATATTATTGGAGGTAAGACAGTCTCATAAATATTATTTCTAAGATGTTTTTACAGCTATTATTGGAATCGTTACTCTCTTTCACTCCAGGTGCTGTATGCTGGTTAGTATTTTTATTGGAGCAGCGAGTGCATTAGCAAGCACATATGTCTCAAATCGCTCCTGGTTTATCATTTGGCAAGTTTTGTCTGCAATAGCACATTCCTGTGCAGGAACATCAGCCATAATGAGATGGTTCATAGAAACACCCCGTTTTCTTGGCTCGAAAAGATGGCTTTTTCCAAATCATGGATTTGGTGACCGCCAAGGGCAAGATCATTACCACATATATGAGGTGATTGGTGGATATCCTATACTTTCTTTATGTGAGCCATGTTGCATACCTATAATTTATGTCTGTAAACGTCTATATCCAGACTGGAGGTGGGGAAACAGGATGGTGTGCGTCATGGACTCTATTGTTGTTGTGGTGTTAATGGGGGAAATGGTAGCACGGGCTATGAAAAAAAGACACAGTGGAAGAGTAGCAAATGTTTCCGATTAAGAAAGAAATATGGCTTCTTTTGTGTAATATTATGTGGTTGATGCGAAAGTTTGTAAAGGATTTGCAGTACTGGGGGCATGGGGAAAATCCTTGCCACTTCTTCCAGTGGCCTGATATTATTGTAGTTTAAAACACAAATAAGGTGGCCAAATGCCACTGCGTTGGCGAGCCCTGTCTGATTCTTCCAGGAATCCATTCTGGGCGTAGCACAGCAGTAGATTCGTCCATGACACGAGATCCTTGGCCGGCATTCTCCCTGGTGCGCGAGCTCCGTGATCATCGAGTTCCGTGTCACTCTGAGACGCGATCGAACATAGCCTGGCAGTCGCCGATCCGGGAGGCTGTAACATATACGAGACAAGATCGCGGAACGCCATCCCATCAAACATGTTCTTGGTGAGCGCAAGATGCCCGGACTGAGCATACAGTGTAATGAGCGAGTTCCAAGAGACCACGGTGATCCGGCATGGATCTTCTTCGCTTGGCCGAGATTGGAGCTCCGGATGTAGGATTGCACGACCTCGTTGCAGGACACGAGATTCCACAGTGGCATAGGAGGCTCTTGGATTGCTCCCTGGCAAAGCGTCGCGATGGGGCATTCGATCGAAGAGCCGGGATGATCGAAGAGCTCGGCGGCATTGGAGGGATTTCGGCGATCCATCTCTTGTATTCCACCAATCCGCCGATGGGAGAGCGCAGGCAGGCACGAAAGACATCGTCTCGAGCAAACTCTCGGCGTCGCAAAGCCTTCCGATCTCGCGAGAGTAGTGATTCCATTGGAACGATGCCATAGTCAGCGATCACAGGCGACCATAGACACGAACTGATCGCGGGCGATTAGGATCTTGCAAGCAGAGGACGGTGATGAGCGAGACGAGATCGATCCTCACTCCGCCATCGAGCGTGGCCGTGGATGGCTTCCCTGTAATGCCCCTTTTAGGCATATGTTTCCATCATCAGGTTCCAGGCCGCCAGATCTCTCGTGCGCATTGCGGCAAGAAAAGCTCGAGCCTCGATCGCACGGCCATTGCGAGCGTAAGCGTGCATCAAACTCGTCCAGCACTGGCAATTCACTATCTCGTCCGGGATGCTGTCAAACGACATTGGATGGCGTAGCCCGAGAGGATCGCGTTCCAGGTGAAAACGTTCCATCTCGGCATTTTGTGCTGGATCATAAGCGCGTCCTCCATTCTCCCAGCCTGGCCGAGCATCGCGACGAGCATATCAAGTCCCTTGCGGGCATTTGCTGGTGGATCCCGCTGGGCATAGGCGGCGGCGATTGATGTAGGCACGAGAGTCCGGCATCCGGAAAAACATCCTGTTGACCTCTTCTACAAGGCATAGCCAAGTTTCTCGTTGCCATCGTCTCACACCTCCACCAAATTCCTGATTTGCACGAAAGCTCCGACAGCACGAGATCTTTCTCGGGCTCAGTGTCGTAAAAAGCCTTAATTATACCCATTGCCTCATCTTGGCAAATGCTGGAATTAGAGCTAGGCATTTGATCGAATAGAAATTTACAAAGGCTTCAATGAAAAGAATACAATAAATTCCTTTTAGCATATGCCCTGCTTGGCATATCCTCTGGTCCAATACTCATCCTCAGTGCAATGTGTATAGAATCAATGAGCGAGATTATGGATACAACATATGTTTCTAACACTTGGTTTTTAACCAAAGCTGCTGAATTAAAAAATTACTAGAGCATCACAACATTTTTATATATCCAATATGGAATTATATACTCTTCCATTATTAACTATAACCATTCCCTACCAGATCAAGGGTAAAAAGTAAATATACATGATATGAAACATATGGTATAGATTCGTCCTCAGTGCATTCCTGTATCTCTATCTACACCTCATAATTTGATGATGTCCCTGCATAAGCATGTGCTACTTGTAAAGCAATGAATGTAAAACATATGTGAGCTCCTCCAATAGCAAAGCTAACTAGCATGGATAACTTGTATTTGAAGTGAGTAGCAGTGCTTAACAATTATTCATAAATACCTCCAGCCACATAGCCCAGTGATAGCAAAGTATATAGATATGGAGTGAAGCAAGGAAGTTGCCAATATCAAATTGCAGAATAATTTAGCCCAAACTTCCCAGTTCCAATGTAGCATGAATAGAAACCCCAGTGGTATTTAGGTGAAGAAACATCCTCTTTAAAGGGCTATAATTTAAATACACTAGTGTTTGGATTTCTTTCATCTTAGAACAAATAGCTTTTCAGAAAAGATCTCGGAGACAGTAAAGGCTTTTTTCGTTCTTGAATCCATATAGCTAGAAACGCAATAGCGACCACAAATCTTTTAGTGATATTTAAAGATAAAACCAAGCGCGAACTTTTTGTAATGGTCGGCAAGCAGCTCGCGCGCAGATTGAGCTGACTGGACACATCGCCTCTCAAATGATGTATATATCCTTTTTACAATCTAGCTTTATTTGTGGAGATCTTGGCCGTTTTCGATCTAGTAGCTACGTCTTGGAGCAGCTCAAGAGCCGGGAGCTTGAGCTGCACAGGAAGTGTTCCTGCCATTTTTCCTTCCATTCCTTTGAGTTTTGTTATACCAGAAGGAAGGGAGCTGAAGCTCTAAAGGTAGGCTTTCGCTTCTCCTTTTTTCTGATCATTCTTTTTGTTGTTTCTGCATGTGATGGAACCGGTTAGCATCTCTCACGGTTATAGATACCACCACCTTGGATACAGACTTGATAGCCGAGTGGCAATCCCCACACACCCGCAAGTTCCTCAGCGACGAGATCAATCCAAAAGCCACAGCCATCTTTTTGCAACAGCTCCTCCTTTTGCTCCTCGCCAACGTCATGAAAGATCTCCTTCGTGTTGGGAACGTAGCCAGCGTGCCGCATTTCTCTCGCCAGCCTCTGGAGATCCGCGACAATATCTTCGCTGTGAGGATGCGAAAGATCCCCCACCACGAAACTGTGAACTTCGCTGCCAACTTCGATGTTGCTGATCCCCGGAACTTTTCTCACTCGCCTCGACTTCATCAGGTTCCGGATCATCGACACCTTGTCCCTCCTCCGGATCGACAAGTACATGTTCCAGAGAACCACGTATGAAGTCGTGTAGCCTCGAAGATCTTCGCCGCGACTCGCTCAGCTCAATCGGCTTCGCGGTGGATCAGGTGACAAGCTCCCAGCAGCGACATCCAGATCACGATGTCTGGAAGGAATGGCATCGAGTTGACGACGGTGCTCAGAGTTCTTCATGCAGCAATAGCGCTCTCTCCTCGGCACCATCCCCAAGCAGACGAAGTGGTCCCAGCCCTCGGCCACGAGACCGACATGGCTGCACGAAGTTCGAACGTTCCGGAACGTTCGAGATTCATAAGATGGAAGACTTCCCCATTTCGAGCATAAGCCCACACCAAGGTCATCTAGGAAACGAAGTTGCGCATCTTCATGCTCTCAATCATGCTCCTGGCGGCACCGAGATCGCTCAAAAACTTGCGGGAGAACTGTCCAGCAGACGATGGTCTTGCGTCACGGCACCGCCAAAGTGCCCACTCTCGGCATACGTGAGGAGCATAGACTGGATTCTTTTCCGGGATTTGAACGAAGATTTTCTTCGCGAGGGCGACAAAGCCTTGGTAAGCTAAGCTTGCACAATCGCCGTCCACGCCACCACGTCCTTATCCGGCATGGAATCAAAGATCTCTCTCGCGTTGGCAAAATCCCTTCTTTGGCCATTCTTGTAGTTCTCCGGAGCCGATGGAACGCCCTGTCCAATTCTTCCAGGAATCATTCTGCAGGTAGCACAGCAGTAGATTCGTCCACGACATGGCCGGCATTCTATCAAAACTCGATTTTGCTGCCTCGATTTGCCCCTGCGCGAGCGCTGTGATCATTGAGTTCCATATCACGGCCTGGAGCTCTGGGACACGATCGATCACCGCCGGGCAGTCCCGGATCTGGATGCCGCCACATATCCAGCGATCATCGGGTTTCACGAGACAAGATCACGAAACTCCATCCCGTCAAAAGTGTCTTGGCAAGCTCAAGTTGCCCAAACTGGGCATACAGTGTAATGAGCAAGTTCCAAGATGCCACGTCATGATCCGCCATGGAATCGAAGATATTCTTTTCCTGGTCGAGATTGGAACTCCGGATATAGGACCTCACGACCACTTTGCAGAACAAGAGATTCCAGTGGGGCATTCGATCAAAGAGGCTCTTGGATCGCGCAATATTCCCCTCCCTGGCACTTTGCGATGGCACATTCGATCGAAGAGCCGGGATGCGATCGAAGAGCTCGGCGGCATTGAAGGTGTTCCCAGGAGTATTTCGGTGATCAAGAGAGATCACGCATCTGCAGCGCTGCCGCAGCGCCCATACAACTGGATGAGGAGATTGGCGAAGAAATATCCTTGCCAATGAGGAAAAACCTAAAGCAATCGTCGGCCAGCAGCCCTCACGAGATCCAATGCCGCTCCTCTAGCCCTCACGAGATCCAATGCCGCTCCTCTAGCCCTAGCAGCCCGACATTGCTCTCTAACCCAAAGTTTTGGTTAAGCAGATCATGGGCGACCATTGATCGCGGGCGATTCCAAATGGCTGCAAGCCGAGAGGATGGTGATGAACGACACAAGATCGATCCTCACTCCACCGTCGGGCGTGGCCTCGTGGAAGAGTTGGATGGCATTGCTCAGTTTGGGCATATGCTTCCATCATCAAGTTCGTTTCACAGCATCCCGGAAGAGATCGTGAATTGCTGCTGGACGAGTTTGATTCATGCTTACGCTCGCAATGGCCGCGTGATCGAGGCTCGAGCTGTGCTCGCCGCAATGCCCACGAGAGTGGATATCTCCCGCATAGCCGGAGAGGATCGCGTAACGTTCCATCTCGGCATTTGCTGCTGGATCTTGAGGGCGTCCTCCATTCTCCCGGCCTGGCCGAGCATTGCGACAGGCATATCAAGTCCCTTGTGGCCATTTGGTGGTGGATCGCCATCGACATGCCCGTGCTGGGCATATGCGGCAGCGATTGATGTAGGCAACTGTGGCATTCGATCAAACAGCAGCTTCGCTCTGTCCAGGATGCCGTTTTCCATCAGCCCATTCCAAGACACGAGATTCTACTGGGCCATCCGGGAAAACATCCTCTCTGCCTCTTCTACAAGGCATAGCCCGACACTATTGCTGTCCGCGAAACCAAGTCCCTCGTCACCATTGTCTCAAACACACCTCGAGCCTAATTCCCGATGTGCTTGAAAGCTCTCACCAATGAAGTTGATAGTATTGAGGTTAGTGAGATCCAGGTGGCACATGTCCTGCCAGGTTACCGGAGGGTTCATGGTTTATCAAATATAACCTTTTGTCCATCCATTGTTTCTTTTCATGGTATCATATCCTGGGACGATGGCTCTCACTGGTGAGGAGGAGGATGAGCCACCTTAATCAGAAGTGGATGGCGCTTGTTGGCTGACAACAAGGTGAGCTACAAGATCATGGTTGCAAGGAGAGTTCTTGGTGTTGCACTAGAGCCCAGATCAGGGCAGAGGCACTGGGTGCTGAGACAGAGAAGTGTTGCTAGAGGA